AAAAAAACTGAGTTTTGTATCTTATAAATTGAGGAGGCAGGATCCATTCATCAGCTATAACTGAAAATGAGGAGAAGGCTAAGGGCTAGAGATTTGACTGCAAATCATTAAGATTCACTTGACATTAGTTAAGCCGAGAACTGGATCTATGCCCAACTGGTGTGTCTTAGGGAGGCTATCGAATGAGGAATAGGCTGAGATAACTTGTGAGGCCCCTCTGAGCCTTTGAGTAAATATTAAGAGGAAGAAGGAGTTGAAGAATATGGGATAACTAGGAGATTCGGTGCTAGTGAAGTAGACAGTTCTGGAATACTAACTCTGACAGTTTGGTTCTTAAACTTGCCTTATTTCTTAAACAAGAGGCATATTATAAAAAAATAACTAGAGGAAAATTAAGCTCACATCATGTATTAATTAGAACATTTGGGGGTTTATGCAAGAGGAAATAATTTGAACTAGCTTCAGTTAAATAAGACTTTTTTTTAAATAAAATATTTATAGTTAAACTTTAGAACCACTTTGGCCACTCTCCCATCTCCTAATTTTGTTGCAGTTTTTTAAATTAACATCTAATGTATTATTTGTTTCAGGGGTACAGGTCTGTGATTCATCAGTCTTTTATAATAACCAGGGCTCATTACAACACATATCCTCCCCAATGTCCATCACCCAGCCACCCCATCCCTCCACCCCTCTCCCCTCCAGCAGCCTTCAGTTTGTTTCCTATGATTAAGAGTCTCTTATGGTTTGTCTTGTTTCATTTTTTCCTCTCTTCCCCTATAGTCCTCTGCCTTGTTTCTTAAATTCCATATATCAGTGAGATCATGTGATAATTGTCTTTCTCTGTTTGACTTATTTTGCTAAGCATAATACCCTCTAGTTCCATCTACATGGTTGCAAATGGCAAGATTTCATTTTTTTGATGGCTGCATAATAGTCCATTGTATATATATACCACATCTTCATTATTCATTCATCTGTTGATGGACATCTAGGCTCTTTCCATAGTGGACATTGCTGCTATAAACATTGGGATGCAGGTGCCCCTTTGGATCCCTACATTTGTATCTTTGGAGTAAATACCCAGTAGTGCAATTGCTGGGTCATAGGGTAGCTCTATTTTCAACTTTTTGAGGAACCCCCATACTGTTTTCCAGACTGGCTGTACCAGCTTGCATTTCCACCAACAGGGTAGGAAGGTTCCCCTTTCTCCACATCCTTGCCAACATCTGTCGTTTCCTGACTTGTTAATTTTAGCCATTCTGACTGGAGTTAGGTGGTATCTCATTGAGGTTTTGATTTGGATTTCCCTGATGCCGAGCGATGTTGAGCACTTTTTCATGTGTCTGTTGGCCATTTGTATGTCTTCTTTGGAGAAATGTCTGTTCATGTCTCCTGCCCTTTTTCTTGATTGGATTAGTTGTTCTTTGGGTATTGAGTTTGAGAAGTTTTTTATAGATATTGGATACCAGCCCTTTATTTGATATGTCATTTGCAAATATCTTCTCCCATTCTGTAGGTTGCCTTTTAGTTTTGTTGACTGTTTCCTTTGCTGTGTAGGAGCTTTTTATCTTGATGAAGTCCCAAAAGTTCATTTTTGCTTTTGTTTCCCTTGCCTTTGGAGATGTGTCTAACAAGAAGTTGCTGCAGCTGAGGTCGAAGAGGTTGCTGCCTGTGTTCTCCTCTAGGATTTTGATGGATTCCTGTCTCACATTTAGGGCTTTCAACCATTTTGAGTCTATTTTTGTGTATGGTGTAAGGAAATGGTCCAGTTTCATTCTTCTGCATGTGGCTGCCCAATTTTCCCAACACCATTTGTTGAAGAGACTGTCTTTTTTCCATTGGATATTCTTTCCTACTTTGTCGAAGACATAAGCCTTTCTTATGAGGATGCAGTGGTACCTCATAGAAGCCATGGGTAAGAATGCTATTGTAATCAGGAGGCAGACAACCATTGAGGATCTACACTCAGCTCCACTCTACTTTTTTTCTCTGTCTCTTCCCTCTCTTCTATCCCCTCCAGACTTTTTTTTTCTATTTCTCCTGATGGCGTAGCCCTTACATTTTTGTTATAGCCCCAGACACCCAGTCTTACCAATTCCCTCTCCCCATTCTAAATCCCCAGGGAAGTTCTCTGATTGCCCCAACATAGGTGAGATACTCCCTCCCTATCCATCCTGATCCAATCAAGCGTGTGTGTGTGTGTGTGTGTGTGTGTGTGTGTGTGTATTTAGAAGGCTCATGGATTCCAGTCCAAAGAAATCATAATATATGGGGGTGGTATCCAGATAAGACATCAGTATTTTTTATAAGCACTCCAGTTTGGGAACTAATGATTGAGGCTCTGTTGTTTTTATGAAAATAAAGACTGTGGTTGGGATTATAATGCACCCTCCCCCCCCCCCACAATGCCAATGTGCTAATATCCAAAACATGTGGAAATACTATGTTACATGACAAAGGGGAATTAAAGTTATAGGTGGAATTAAGGTTGCTCATCAACTGACCTTAAAATAAGATTATATGAGATTATCTGGATGGGCCAAATATAATCACAAAAGTCCTTAAATGTGGAAGAAGTAGGCAGAATTTTCAGTGTGTCAGAGTAATGTCATTGCTGGCTTTGAAGATGGAAGGGGACCATGAACCAAGGAGGTGGCCTCTAGAATGTGGAAAGTCAAGGGAAAGGATTCTGCCTGGGACCTCCATACAGGAATTCAATTCTGCTGACACCGTGATTTTAGCCCAGTGTGACCCTTTTCAGAATTCTGTCTTCTAGAGCTGTAATAAATTTGTGTTGTATTAAAGGCACTACGCTTGTGGGGTTTTTTTAAAGCAGCCACAGAAAACTATTAAGAAGAATGGTTAATACTTGAATAAGAGAGAGAGGTAAGAGATAATTTCAAGGCTGTATTCCTGAAGTAGATTTGTTCCATGGTAAACTTTTTTTTTTTTATCTGTCCAGCACTTTTCTCTTGTTCTGAAAATAGCAACTCCCCTTACTCTTTTTTTTTTCCCCTCCAACAAAGTGGTTCTACTGGGGGTACCATTGTTATGTCACACATGTACTTTTTCTCCAAGAATGATTATGTTACTTGATCTTACCCAATCATGCTCTTTATTTGGTGTTCTAAAAATTGGAACTGAGGGAAGAGAGGCTCATTCTGTCTGGTAACAACTTGATAGGTATGAGTCCACAATTTGTCAGAGGCCATGGTTCTAAGCCTACAGAACATGCCTTTCAGATGTTCTGAAAGAATGACCCTGTCTAAAAGAGGCTGTTTGAGAGCCTAACCTGGAATTTGAAGCATTCACGTTACTTGTTCCATTTATTCCGAAAGTCATTCATATACTTACCCTTTCACAGCTTGGGTTACACAATAACTTTCTCTTTTTGCCTAAGCTACTTCGTTGTACTTTTAGTCACTTCCATTAAAATATCCTGACAAACTCAGACATAGAATAAGAAAATAAACCCAGTAATCAAAGTTCACACACATATAGACACATCTATTAAGAATGCAAAAATTACCTTTATTAACCGAGTGGGGTTTTTTAAGGCATCTTCTGTATGTAAAACATTGTCAGTGAAATGAATAGGACAAAATCCTACTTACAGGCATTTACAGATTTATTCATCCTACAGTCGGTGTTTACATTTACCAATATACATACCCTCTTACAGTATGTCTTCACTACAATCCCCCTATACTTATTTGACAAATAAAAAATAGAAATGAGTTCAAGAAAGTCTGGTTTGTAAAATACACAAATGGAAGAACCACAAAGGTTAATGGGAAGAGTTTCAGGATATTCAGATCTCTAAGGGCAATTACCAGACTCTCCCCAAAAATGCTGCCATCACAGTCAAAACAGTTGCTGGGCAGGACTAGGGGTGTGGCCCTGTGGCAGTTCTTTTATTCTTAGCCAAATGTTTCTCAATTCCATCATAACTAAAGCAAAAAGAAGAAAGGAAAAGTAATTTGGAATAAATCACTTTAGGCCCACAGGCCAATTCACGTTGGATTCGCTCAGGTGTGTTTATTTTAATAGCTGCTCCGAGGGCACTTGAGATACCACAGCTGACCAGATTTTAAACATAAAAGCAGAGAACTTAAAACTAAGCACGCATGCAGCATGGAATAATAATCAAGTTGGGCTTCTTAAAATGCTAAATGCCAGAAAACCTGAAACCATTAGGGCAAAGTCCACACAACATAGGCCGAATATTCTGTTTCTCAGAGGGGCTTTTAGAAGGCTCAGATTCTAAGGTGGCTTCCTAAAAAGCAGGGTCAAAGATGCGTCTTCTTTGACAACCCGTGTTCTTCTTCCCAAGATATTCGGGTAGGCTTATTCAAGAATCTTTTTAAGAAAAAAGCAGATTATTGTCACTAAAAGTGCAGAAACAGCAACAGTAGAGTTCTCAGGAAAAGTGCTGAGCTTTAACAGCTGTCTCTGGTTGGATAGTCACCCACTGCGTTCTGGGCTCGCACACAGCAGAGACAAGTTAACCAGGATACGCTGCACAGACGGTCTGTGGGTGAGAAATCCCCAAGCCCCTCACCTCTGGAGGGCTGAGGACTGCGCGCGCGAGGAGGAAAAATGCGCGGAGGGTAGGGGTGGGGGAATAACATGTGGGGAGATAGGCATGCAAAAAGGTGAAAGGCTAGCTAGGGAGGATCCAGGGTGGCTCCAGGGAGAGGCGTGGTGGCCCCCGGGGACTGGCTAGCTTGGCCCCACGCCAAGCGCGCTTTCTCGAGGATGAGTGTGGGGGTGCACCGAGGGGACCAGAAAACTTCTCTGCCAATGTTATCAACAGACCTCCAGAGTGGAAAACTCCAGCCGGGTGCCCTGAACACTAGGTTTTCCGGACCAAGACGGCGGAGGCTCCGCGCCTCCTGTTTCCCACCCTGCCTGGCCACGCCCCTCCTCTCCTAACCCCGCCCGGGCCCCACCCCCTCCGCTTCCCACCTCCCTTCCCCTCCGTTCCCGGCTCCAGGCTCCTGCTAGGTTCGTCGGCGGTGGGAGCGCGCAGGCGCGGCTGGTGGTTCCCTGAGAGCGGAGGAGCGGCGCCCGGGGCGCGGTGAGTGAGGTGGTGGCACCGGGCTGCTGGCTGCGAACTTGGTTCGCGCCGAACATCCCGGGAGGGTTCGGGGAGTGCGCGGGTGAGTGCCCGGGGAAGCTTCGGTCCCGGGAGGAGAAACTGGCCGGACTGCTTAAGAGTGTCCAGCCCCGGCTGCGTGCGGAACGGAGTGCGTGGTGGCGGGAGTGGGTGAGGGTTTGTGTGAGGAGGAAAATAGAAGAGAAGGGCTCCGGAGGCTGGAAGTCCTTACTCAGGCTTGGCAGGACTGGGAGGCTCGCCAAGGGCGCTGGAGGCTGTCCCAGCTTCAAGTTCAGTATGCCCCGCTGGGTGCCCCTGAGCGGCGTCCCGGGCCCATCCCTCCCCCCCGCGCTGCCGTCTCAGAGTGCGGAGTTGCCAGGAACGTTCCTTGTCGCGGGGGAGAGGGTCTGGGGAAGGTGGGCTTTCACCCCACGCTAGTGCCAAAGAGGGTGTGGCGTTCGTGTGACTTTCCTTCACCCCGCCCCCGGGAATGTGTCCGTCTTCTGGTACATTGTGCTCGTGGACATTTTAACAAAGGCTATGACTGTTTTCTAGGCAGTGGCGGGTGACAGCGGGGGCGGGTCGGTGGAGGGGGCAGTGTATGAGGTCGCAGTGTGGCCCTGGGGGGGGGGGGCAGGCATGGAGGGAATGGAAGGAAGGGAACAACCTCCCTGCCGCAGCTTTTTCCTTCTTCCTGGTCCGCTGATTTTGATCAGTGGTAGGAACAGCCTCGAGAGGGATATAATTGGAAATCATTGTGTGTGTTCGGACTCTGGCTGCAGCCATTGGTTTTGTAATTGTGCTGTTGATGTAATTTTTAAGTGTCCCTTCAGTAGAAAAGCGAAACTAATGAAATTGAAGAGGAAATAAGAGGTTGGGTGTCAAAACTTAGAGGTAAATTAATGCCTTCTGGTAGTCGTAGTATAAATACAGCCAGATTTTGAAGGATGTGAAGGAGTGCAAGTCAGGGTAAGTGAAAAGTTGATTAGGGTGCTGTTGATGGTTTCAGTCAAGAGGGGATTATTGGATGTGTGTGTGGAGGTGTTACCAAGTTCTTGGGTAGACTCACTTTAAAACCTTTAAAAATGATATTGGGAATATAAAACACTAGGGCAAACACTGTAGTATTGGATAAGGTTCTAAGGCTTTCATTTGCAAAATTAGGAACTTTATGGAAAGTGGTATATGTGTTTTCAAGCATAAATGTTGATTTCTTATTCATCTGTTTTAACTGAATACAGCAACTACTTCCTCCTCCACCCCTTTCCCTTGATTGTGAATCCTGTTTTATAAATAGTGAGCTTTCAGGGGTAGAGCAAGGTGGTGGAGGAGTAGGAGACCTAAATTTTGTCTGGTACCAGGAATTCAGCTAGATAGTTATCAAACCATTCTGAACACCTACAGACTCAACAGGAGATCGAAGAAAAGAATAGCAGCAACTCTATGAACAGAAAAGTGACCACTTTCTGGAAGGTAGGACGTTTGGAGAAGTGAATCCGAGGCGATATTCGGGAGGATAGATGGCGGGGGAGGGGGCCTCCGTCGGCCGCTCCTGGCAAGTGATAAGAGCAGCAGAGCACAAAATTGGAGCTTTTAGAAGTCTGCTCCGCTGAGGGATGTCGCTCCAGTGGCTAAGCAGGGGGTGGAACCCTTGCTGGGAGAGTGTGGTCTCGGGACCCTCGGGGTCACAGAAAGACCGGGGATGCCTGAGTGCAGCAGGGCTCCCATGTATCAGAGCGGGGAATCTGGCTGCAAAGAGTGAGCCTAGGAGTGGACTCTCAGCTCGGGGTTGCCATAGACCGTGATCCGTGGCACAATCTGGCCACTACTCTTCTAGCAGGGACCCACCAAGTGGCAGATCCAGGGAGACTCCCCTTCCTCCCCCAGGAGGAGTGGCCCGGGAGCGCACCGCAGGGATCTGCTGGGTTTGGAGACTTCACACGGGGTGGGGTGCCAGAGATAGAAACGCTCGGTCACAGGCCAAGTGAGCACAGAATGCAACCAGAGACCAGGGAGGCAGGAGTGATTGACTGCTTTTCTCTGAGGGCTCACTGAGGAGTGGGGCCCCAAGTTCTCAGCTCCTTGGGACCAGAGATTGGGAGGCTGCCATTTTCATTCCCATCCTCTAGAGCTGTGCAGAAAGTGTTCAGAAAACAAAAGCTACCGAGAGCAAACCCGAGCAGATTACTTAGCCCGGCCCCTGGCAAGAGTGGTGCAATTCCACCTGGGGCGCCTGGTGGCAAAGACATTTGAGAATCACTACAACAGGTCCCTCCCCCAGATCAGCAAGAGCCAAGACCAAGTTTACTGATCAATGAGACCTGCAAAGCTCCAGCGCTGGGGGAATACAGCACATAGAATTCATGGCTTTCTTCCCATGATTCTTTAGTCTTTCAACGTTAATTTTTTTAATTTTATTTTTTCTATTTCTTTTTTTTGAACTTTTCTTCTTTTCAACCAACATCTTACCAATTCCTTTTTTAAACTCTTTTTTAAGTTTCATTTTTATAGCCATATTCCATCCCTTCATTGTATTTACCCTTATTTTTGTATATATATGAAGTTTTCTTTAAAATTTTGGTAGGCAGTTTCTTCTAACAGACCAAAATACACCCAAAATCTAGTGTGTGTCTCTGTTCTTTTCATCTGTCTGATCATATTCTTCATATTCTTTTCTTTCTTTCCCCCCCCCGGTTTTGGGTCTCTTCTGATTTGTTTATTTTTCTGGGGTTGTTGTTACCCTTTTAGCATTTTGTTCTCTCATTCATCTATTCTCCTCTGAACAAAATGACAAAATGGAAAAACTAACCTCAAAAAAAAAAAGAATAAGAGACCGTACCAACTGCCAGGGACCTAATCAATACAGACATTAGTAAGATGTCGCAACTAGAGTTCAGGATGATGAAAGATACTAGCTGGGTTTGAAAAAAGCATAGAAAATACTAGAGAATCCCTTTCTGGAGAAATAAAATCTAACCAAGTCAAAATCAAAAAGGCTATTAATGAGGTGTAATCAAAAATGGAGGCAATGGAGTCTCTAACTGCTAGGATAAATGAGGCAGAAGAGAAAATTAGTGATATAGAAGACCAAATGATGGAGAATAAAGAAGCTGAGGAAAAGAGAGATAAACAACTACCAGATCATGAGGGGGAGAATTCGAGAGATAAGTGATACCATAAGACAAAACAATATTAGAATAATTGGGATCCCAGAAGAAGAAGAAAGAGAGAGAGGGGCAGACGGTGTGTTGGAGCAAGTTATACTGGAGAACTTCCCTAATTTGGGGAAGGAAACAGGCATCCAGGAGGCACAGATAACCCCCCTCAAAATCAATAAAAATAGGTTAACACCCCGACATCATTTTTTTTTCTTTCTTCATTAAATAATTTTTTAAAATTAACATATAGTGTATTATTTGTTTCAGGGTTACAGGTCTGTGATTCATCAGTCTTACACAATTCACAGCACTCACCATAGCACATACCCTCCCCACTGTCCATCACCCAGCCACTCCATCCCTCCCACCTCCCTCCACTCCAGCAACCCTCAGTTTGTTTCCTGAGATTAAGAGTCTCTTATCGTTTGTCTCCCTCTCTGGTTTTGTCTTGTTTCATTTTTTCCCTCCTTTCCCCTATGATCCTCTGCCTTGTTTCTCAAATTCTTCATATCAGTGAGATCCTATGATAATTATCTTTCTCTGATTGACTTATTTCGCTTAGCATAATACCCAAATGGGAAGATTTCCTTTTTTGATGGCTGCATAATATTCCTGTGTGTGTGTGTGTGTATACATATATGTATATGTATACACACGCACACACATACCACATCTTCTTTATCCATTCATCTGTTGATGGACATCTAGGTTCTTTCCATAGTTTGGCTGTTGTGAACATTGCTGCTATAAACATTGGAGTGCAGGTGCCCCTTCAGATCACTACATTTGTATCTTTGAACACCCCGACATCTAATAATAAAACTTACAAATCTCAGAGACAAAGAGAAAATCCTGAAAGCAGCTCGGGACATGAGGTCTGTAACATACAATGGTAGAAACATTAGATTGGCAGCAGAACTATCCACAGAGACCTGGCAGGCCAGAAAGGACTGGCATGATATATTCAGGGCACTAAGCAAGAAAAATATGCAGCCAAGAATACTATATCCAGCTAGGCTGTCATTGAAAATAGAAGGAGAGATAAAAAGCTTCCAGGACAAACAAAACTAAAAGAATTTGTGATCACACCAGCCCTACAAGAAATATTGAAAGGGGTCCTCTAAGCAAAGAGAGAGCCTAAATGTAACATAGACCAGAAAGGACCAGAGACAATATACAGTAACAGTCACCTTACAGGCAATACAGTGGCACTAAATTCATATCTTTCTTTTTTTTTTAAAGATTTTATTTATTTATTTGAGAGAGAGAATGAGAGAGAGAGCACATGAGAAGGGGGAGGGCCAGAGGGAGAAGCAGACTCCCCGCCGAGCAGGGAGCCCGATGCGGGACTCGATCCCGGGACTCCAGGATCATGACCTGAGCCGAAGGCAGTCGCTTAACCAACTGAGCCACCCAGGCGCCCCTAAATTCATATCTTTTAATAGTTACCCTGAATGTAAATGGGCTAAATGCCCCCAATAAAAAGACACAGGTTATCAGATGGATAAAAAAACAAGACCCATTGATATGCTGTCTGCAAGAGACTCATTTTAGACTCAAAGACACCTCCAGATTGAAAGTGAGGGTGTGGAAAACCATTTACCATGCTAATGGACATCAAAAGAAAGCTGGGGTGGCAATCCTTATATCAGACAAATTAGATTTTAAACCAAAGACTGTAATAAGAGATGAGGAAGGACACTATATCATACTTAAAGGGTCTATCCAATAAGAAGATCTAATAATTTTATATATTTATTCCCCTAACATGGGAGCAGCCAATTATATAAGCCAATTAATAACAAAATCAAAGAAACACATCGA